GCTCGGTACATCCCTAGTTTAATTCTCTACGACAAAATATAAATACAAATCTATTGATCATCTCTACTGTCACTCGAACAAAATATATTCTCTTAATAATGCGATTCAACTACGTTATGATGAAGATCTTGAATTTATATTTCTTCGGTCAATGTTTTATCTAGCGTATGGGCCGAGTGGGTGACGCCCACCAGAGATGGGTAACTCCGGGGGTAAGCAACTCCAACTCCAGGTAAAAAACGCGTCAAGTCCGAAGTTGAAGTTGCCCATCTCTGACGCCCATCCGTCAGTTCGATTCGTACACCCGAAAAAAGAATCAAATATCCATTCAATTACCGTACATGTTGATAAGTGCATTATTAATATCCATATGTGTTTGAGATTTTTTAATCTGATCATAAATTTGTTCACTTGTATGTAAACAACATCCATTAGCAATTGCTTGTAAAACAAGTACATAAATAATATGATCAATTTGAATATGTGAATGATTTTTTAAACGATGGTATAACTCAATTGTTTTATCTGGTTGATATTGTCGATTATAATATTTCATTAATAAACTATAATCAATAATTGTTTGTTGATTTTGATATTTATCAAATATATCTAATGCTTGTTTTTCTTGATGAAATTTTAAATAAAAATTAAGTAATTCATTCATAAATATTTTATTATTTGGAAGAAATTTTTTTCCATATTGATGAATTTTATAACCATCATTATATTTATTTAATTCAATACATGCTTGTAAAATAAGTGTACAAAGAACAGGTGATGAATATTTTATTGATGGTGGAATTTGTTTTGAAAGTTCAAATGTTTTTTCATATTGTTTTTGATGATTAAAACCAGTCATTATAGCACAATAATCAATTAAATTACGTTCATTCATTGATTGAAATATTTTATAAGCACTATCAATATCTTGACATTTTATATAAACATCCATTAATAGTGATCGTATACGTGGATTATTTTGTATATCATCATTATTAAGATTTTTTGATTCATCAATTAAATGATGAATTTTACGAACGGTTGGTAAAGATTTTAATTCTTTACATATATCAAGTATTGTTAAATAAGTAACAGAATTTGGCTGAAATGTATTTTTTTCAATACCTAATTGAAATAATTTTAAAGCTTG